AATATCACTGAAACAATCATTCTCTTGGCTTCTTGGCGGGAAATGGTGAGTCCTGGGTGTAATTGTTTAGTAGATCTCAGTAGGGTATCATCATCATTGAGTAGTGACACCATGCGTCAAAAATCTGCATTAATGCCTTGACACTATAGGAGGCTTTTTTAAATCAAAGAAGGTGAGATATAACGGCAATCATTGCTCTCTCAACTAGTTTTGTGATGGTGTGGATGTTATCGACCGTACCAAACCTTTACCGGCATCCTTGCTCGCATGACCCTCCTTCATCCAGCATTCTGTCGATCCTGTTGTGGATGACTCATGTGTTATACGCTATGGTGATCACCAGTATTGTCTGGACCTTCCTTCTTATACCAGAACAGTTCTGCTTATTTATCGAGGGCACGTTTCATTCCAGCACGTGCCGCGTGAAGAGCCGAGACAGGGGTTTAACGATAAGTCTTTAGGCGTTGTGGTTCAACAGTATCTAGTCTCCGCATCTTACAGTGGAATGTCGAATATCGTACCGAGAACTGATGGGACGACATGTCCTTCCTGCCTAAAATGGTACGTCGGCAGGTAAGGTAGACGTAACTGTTGAGGAGATCAGAGTAGAAGTCGTAGCTGACCTTCTCCCTTGCCCTTCGAGGTGCAATAGTTGTTCTGTAAGCACTAAGAAGGAGAGCAATCATTGACTTGTAGTTGGCGAACTTCCACCCTGTCTTGCGAATGCTCTTCCCACTCTGGCAGTTCTGACTCGTGCTCTTCTCTCTTTCAGGTCTTCCTAGGTCGCTTCTCTGCCTCGCAGGCTCTGGAGCAAATGGTCATTGCCTGCAGCTGATGCAATTCCATCCTGCTAAATCAGCTTGGAAGACTTCTTTCGCAATTGAGGGGAGGCGTGTTCTAGCAACTTTTAGTGCTCCTTTTCTAATAACCTTCAATGAGCCGGTTGTACTCCGATCTTGCCAACCGCCCGGCCTACGCCGGGCTTCAACTCCTCTTATAACAGAGCTGCAATAATCAGCAAACTGGCACCTCCTTATTTGGAACAGATGATACTTTTCGGAACACGAAGTCAGCGACAGAGTCATGAGACAGAGAACTAACGGGGTGAGCAAGTGGTACTCAAAATGAGGCGATGCTTATGCCTATTATGAAATCTCAATCTGTTGCTGTTTGTCTTGAAAATAATGACCCACTGGAGGGGTAGGGACCAGCCTTGAACGGTGCTTAGAAATGTTGTCGAGTCATGATAACGCTATCATCAAATCTCTCTATCGATGAAGCTTGCTTTCACTACGCATATACCATCAGACGAGAACTCAAGATTATAAGGAGTCGGATAAGTTTGTCAAGAATGATATAGGAGCAAAGAGAAACAGTGATCCTCCATTGAGTCGAACACTATACTGGGTAGTCGTAATCAAACAGCAAGAAATAAAACAATCCTTACCGCTTGTTATTCAGAACCCTCGATCGGTCCCTATCCCTGACCTACCCTTCCTGTCGAATGAAACATATCAAAGAGTCAAAGGTAGATCGTAACGTAGATCGTAAATAGTAAAGGCGTTAGGATTTGATAGGCGAGCGGATCTTGTTTTCAGTGTTCTGATCCTGCCTCCTCTACCCTACCAGTTTTAAGCTGTCCAAGTCCACGGGAACAGGAGTTATGGATCTCCTCTCAAACATTTATTGCGCGAATAAACCTCGCCCCTGTAGGTAAAATTTCGGCCCTGCCACCTACCGGTATTGTTCATATCCTGCCGCCCGTGCTCTTGCCAAGTCTAAACGCTCTCGGTTCACGGGAACAGAAGTTAGGAATGTCCGCTAAATTATTTATGTTGCGCAAACACCGCTCCCTGTGAGCGAAGACCGGTCTTGTCGCCCACCGATCCTACTGCCTGTACTGGTGCCAAGTTTGAATATACTAGGTCCACGGGGACAGGAGTTACGGAATATCGCTCAAAGCTCTTGTGTGCGGTCCTGCCACCTGCGTTAGCGATCCCATCCTTCCGCTTGTACTTCTGACAAGTTTAAACGCTGTAGGTCTACGGGGACAGCAATTCTGGATTTCTGGTAGGACACACACACTCACACACCCACAAACACACAGACATCAGCGCGTTGTATGCATACCAGTCGGTCCGCCCGACTGAAGCCGCGCTTCCCTCCTTCTTTTACAAAGTTCTAGTGATCGGCTAATTCTTCACTCCGTCTTTGAAACAAATAATATTTTTCTGTGCAAGCACTTTGACACAGGACTAATGGAGCGAATGGTATTCAGTGTAAGTCTTTGCTTATGCCTTTAATTTGAAGTATCGGTCTTTCGCTTTCTTCCCTCAAAATCAATACCCATCAAAGACTCGACCGTTAGGCAACCAAAGCCATGGGCGGTACTCACAAATGTTTCGAGTGGTGATAACATCATTATTATATGTCTTATAAACGGACCTTTCCTTACAAAAATATCATTAGTTGAGAATTCCGCTATACTGGTTGTCGGTTAAGTTTTGTCGCAAATGATATCGACCAAAGTGGATCCTTCATTGAGTCACAGACCCTGTTGGGTAGCGATCGTGATCTAATGCAACTGCATGTCGTAGTGCCTCTGATGGGGCCCTATCACTGTGTTTACCACTCACTTTTGACAGCCTACTCTACCATCCCATCTTATCGAATTGAACATACCGAGCACTCGAAGTCACACCGTAAATACTAAGACGTTTTTTTCGCGGATTCTTTTCTCTCGATACAACTCGAATATCGGACTCGCGATTCGATTGAATAATCTTCTTGTTTTCCCTTATAGAAATATGTCTAGGAAGTCATCCTCATATACGGCACATTATAAAATGAACCAACGAACTTCTCGGCGATGGAACAGTCAGCCAAAGCCGAATAAAGAATGTAATCTGCTTCTGCGGTCCCGCTAATCACCAACACATCTAGTATAGATTATCACGTCAATCGCCCGGTGCAAAATTGGCTAATGAATAGAATTTTCGACGAAAGGGAAGGTTTCATGCCTAGGTCAGGGCGTGGATCGCCTCCAAGAATCGAAACTTCATGGCCTGTGGAATCCGACTGCCTAATAAGTGGGAAGCAGTGCTTGAGCTAGATGGTGAATTAGTTTCGGATAATAGTATGAAAATGACTTCGCTCAATATTTCCATTGTTTTTTCATGTAAAATTTGGTAAAAGTAATCCGCAATAATTATGCATCAACCTAATAAAGTCTAGCCCAGAGGAGACGGTGCTCCGATCCGTGTAGAATTTCTAACAGCGATGTCAGTCAGGCAAAATTCCATTTGAGTATGATGTGATCAATTTCATAATGATTTGTCAGATATGTGATTCCAAATCTTATGGCGAGTGAAATGTCTCCTTGAACTGCAATTACCATGGATGATGTGGGTCGCCATGAAAACTCGCACATTCTTGCCAATTCATGCTATTCCTTTAGTCTCGATATGCGGCTCCATTCGATTTTGTAAGAACACTTCCAGCTCCTATTCGTCGTACCTTGTTGGAGCATAGGCAAGGAAAATTGTGTGAGGATTCGAGTCCACACTGATTAAGTGGCAACCTCAGATTTGAGTTGTCAAGACTCCGTATAAATCGATATACATGGCTAAGTGCAAGTTGATTATAACACCTTCTCCTCTGACGCATTTTCTGTGACAGAAAATTCCCTTTCAAGTCTCCGAAACGACATGCAGCGAGCGATGCCCTCTCGTCTAGGTCGGTCCTATGAAATGGTAGTCAACCTTCCTTGTTTGGGTTATATGTATAAGATCTACTATATAAACATCGGATGGAAGCGTTCACGCGTTCAAAGAACAGATCGCCATCTTAGTCTCCCTTCATTAAAAGCATATCTTGGCCCTGAAAATTTAGCACCGCGTCCCAAGCGATCCTAAGTAGCGCTGCCACGGTTGGGACTCCCATAGACTCAAGTGAATGAGGTCGATTCATGTAATTGTGTTTGGCATGTAGGTACCAAAGAGCAACTTGTCAGGCATTGCTACATGCCGGCTGATTTGACTCCACGCAGCGAGCCTGGCAATCCCAAAGTGGACAATAGTCTTATTTGTTATGGGCCACCTCGAACAGCCTTACTCCCTAGTCACTCGAATGCCACAAAGAAAAACAATTTATTTCCTTATCCGTCGATTGGGGTCGTGGCACGTAACCACGCCTCTTCGAGATCCATGATTTAAAGAGAACTTTCGCTGGTGGCTACAGACATATGGACCAAAGTAATAATTAGCATATTCTCCCAAGCAGGTTGCGAGCGGGCAGTCAAATTCCGCTCAAGATTCCAACCTATTCTCTTTGCAACAAGGGCAAACTTTGTGCAACGGTAAAACTTTCTCTTATCTAGTATGCAGTATGTTGAGCAGCATCACTTTGCTCCTTATCAACGTGAATAACTTTTTTCTTGTCCTTCATTTCCGAGGAAAACAGGGGATAAGAAACCGGGAAGTCCTCCTTTCTCATTATTCGACCAAGTCAATACTTGCGATACTGTAGTATCCACGCTTGGCGCGATCATTGAAATTTGAATTATATCAATAGTAGTCGCTTTATCAGATAGAATCAGGAATCGCCTTTTCAAGAGCTAACAGTGCCAGAAATCTATTGAGCCCAGATGACATAGTGCACCAAAGATGGTGAGGTGAACCCTTCTGTAGAGTCTGCGAACATGTATATGAATACTCTCTTCCTTATCACTGGTGCCCTTTCTCATCTCATTGACCTTCACTAGATTCACCAGGGAAATCCTATCCCAAGATTCCATCCCTTTTCATTCGATTCTAACTCCATACAACGTTTAGGATGTATCATGATTACTTTATGTCTAGCAAGCTGTGACTGAATGAATCGCTCACCGCTCCTCACACGTAATTCACTCACTGCAATTTCCTGTTGTCACGACCGAGCGGAGAAATTTGACAGCAAAGCTTGATGTTGGGCGCATACGACAGCATTGCTTACTAAAGGGCATGTGTAGTAAAATACAGGTAGCGACATTCATTGAAAGCTCACGATACGATACTAAGACACGCAGCTCTGACAAGCAGCTCCGAAAACGTATTGCTGAAGTATGGACCTAGCCTTTTCCATAGTGAAACGACGAAAAATGTAACATACATTCGCGGCAGTCGATTGTTTATAAGGCATAACGATTGGAAGGATGGATTAGCAAAGGTCCAGCATTTCAGTTCTCTTTTACTCAGGGAAACTGATATCTAGAACAGCTGCCAGAGGGACATTTGGTCATCAACCTGAACCTCAGCTTAGGCTAATGCTGCATGAAACGTTGTTCGGTTGAAACAGTCAATGGAAGATCATGCAGGACCTGCATGAAAACTCCGATCCGAACACTTATCCAAGCAGAGAAATATTTGTCCCAGTACCCGTATTTGACAACAGCATTAGTATCGGAAAGAAAGGACAATACGCCAAAGAAATCTGAGCTGCCTTCGTCAATCACACAATCCGCTGCTTTAATCACTCTGCCACTATTAAAAGGTTGCAGATGTAACCGACATATCAGACTCATTTGCTTCCCTACTGTGGTTGAAGTTGTGGAGAGATTATCATCACAATCCCACTCGGAGCTCATGTTACAAAGTTGGAAAGCAAATCAAAGCGTCGAAAAACACATCTGAGATATTGGCTCTTCAACAAGGGGTCTAATCGACATGTGCCCTCCTTCCTTCTTCCTTCCTTCCTTAGAAAAAAAAGTAGAATATTCTCCTAAAGTGATGTCTCGGAGAGTTTCTGGGTTTCTGTCTCTAAAGGCGGTGGCCCACATTCACCTCTTGCATATGGGAACTCCGACGTCTACCGTTTCACTACCAATGACGTAATCTAGATTGAGTTGAAGTCAATATGTTAGTTGCTCCTCTTGAGTATTCTCAAATAGGAAACAAATTTCTTCCGTAACCTCTTGATCCAAGAGGAAGAATAACGCAGACTGCTGTACGAATGAACTAAACAAATCTCAATCTTTCCGGCCGTTGCATTTTGTTAACGAGTGCGAGAGATACACAAAATCGAGAGTGACATCTTTTAAAATTGCATTATGAGCAATAGTAGCACAGGTATACCTGATAGTTCAATCTGAACATACCAATTTCCACGCAGACGTTCTGTGATTCTTTTTTTGATATGATCATCATTCGCTTTTCAGGACGACTACAATCGCTTCGAGACTGCCATGCACGCTGCAGCCAAATGGAATGAACGTCAAAAATCCGAAGAGAGCCGTTTTCAAGCATTCGGCGATCGTCTAGGCAGCGGAGTAGAAATGTCCATTCATCATTGGCAGGGGGGAGAGGTACTGGGATCTGGAAACAAATCTATTTCCACATTTTCCGTTTCTGACCCTTGTATTGTCCAGCCCTTTCCCTCCTGCACTCACACACCTGTTCATTACCTTGCAGGAATCAGTGAAAAGGGCTAGTACATACTGTAACTTACGGCTACGCACGGGAGGAGTGACTAGCGAACGATACTGGCCGTAACTGCAACCATAGAGCTACCAGTCCTGCCAAAACTTTTCACCAAAGAGGTGATTCGCTCTAGAAGCTCTGCAAAGGATTGTAAATTGAGCTACTCTATCCTCGAGAGTTCTACACTCATTCCTGCGATGACTCTCTCAAATTGAAGTTATTGTAAGAAACCACTTTTATATTATATAATCCCATTTCGAGTTCCTTCAGTAGACAATATACAGATGAAGGCTCTACAACACTGTCATTTAATAGGTTCAACCATCAGTTCGCGACGAGGTTCTTCATAGGTAATCTAGTGAATCGAAATGGTATGTCGGCATTTTAAACTCTTCTCTTCGAACATGAATTTCAGTTGTGATGTCCGAAAACCATGAATAACAAAATAATGACGAATCCTTGGTTTTTTGCAATAGATTCCTTAGAAATTTCAGCTAAAACGGAATTGTGCAAATGCCCATTCCACTACGCAATATTCGTTTGACAAGTTTGACAAGTAATTGCTCCTGAAGTACTTTGCGACGTCTTTCCACGATTCATTCTTCAAAGAAAACGACACAGCATTAGGCAAATCGTCAGTATGTTATGATGAGTATTCATTGATTGGCGATATTTATCAATTACGGTGCACCTTCCTATGACCGGCAGGAGAGCCGTGTGGATGAGAGTGTAGGCCCACATTTGCACTGAGAAAGACAACCTTTTCGATATCTACTGTAGCAAAAACCATGCTTTGCGAAATTCGCAAAAAATGTTCCCGGTATGAGCGTCAGGCCCAGGTTGACAAGCCGCCTGATTAAGGAAACCCAGGTGATGGCATATTGTAACGGAATCCCTCAGCAACTTTATTTCCGTTGTTACCAGGATCAGTGACCGAATCGTGGCTGTGGGATAGAAACGAAGGAAGGGTACTGAACAACAATATCCATGCCGAAGGAAGGGTACTGAACATCAATATCCATGCCTGTACCGCAAACCGATTGTTTTAACGAGAGAAGGATAGATCCAACATGAATAATGAAGAAGCTATCATGTGACCTCATATTGAGTATCTCATCATAGCGATTGTTGGAAGTAGAAGGAACAAGGTAGAGTTCATGGAGTTAAAGAAATCAGAACCAGGGATGAAGAATGAAAGTGGATTCTCGACTACGCCACAGAACGCGACCTAGCGCCTGCGGTACTTTCTCCAAGAAGAAGACTGAAAAGTTTACCTTTTGCAGTGGAAGAAGACAAACGGAAATCGACACCTGCGAGGGAATCCGCTCATAAAGTTGTAAAGGACATCAAGGCAGTGCCGGTCGGGAGGAGGCTTGGTACCGCAACAAATGCCTCTTCTAGCAAATGTAGCCACCAAAATTTCGAAAAGAGTCAGGTCAGAACTGAGCGGGCAGTCCAATGGCGAAGCTGCACCATACTGCGAAAAAATCTACAACGAGCGACACTGGAGACTGGTCTCCTGGTTGTGGAGCGACTAGGTTTAAAGGGTTGTGAAGAGGTACATGTCTCATATGTAAATTTAAATTTTATGAGGGAATGGTGGTTGTTCAGCATTATTATTTATCTGCCACTCACAACATCCCTATTTTGCAGATTATAACGGACCCCGCTCAGCTACCCAAATCTTTAAAGCCTAGAAGATTATACTATTCACCAATTGGGGACGGAACAGTCGCAGCGGATGGTATAGAACTTAGAAGGTATGTCAGGAACACACACTCAATTCAAAAAAATTTTGAATCAGGTAATAGTTAAGTTTGGTGCTTACCGAATATCGCTTCAGACGCCCTGTTGATTTGTCGCCTCGTGTTACCATTACGCAGATGACGCACTTGGACCGTGGGCAGAAAGGTCATGATGGCCTTTATGTTTATGAAAAAACATGGAAAAGCAGTGCCTTATGTGAGTTAGTATAATTCATATTCGGTTGAGACAGGATTTGTCAAGTGGTCAAGGTCTGAGACTTATTATGCTCGTAATCGTTCCGAAAATCCAGGAAAACAGGAAACTCGCGGTAATGATCACAAGAAGGCACGTGCATCATGTGTACAAAGAGAATCCAAATTTTAGCAATTTTCGAATTCTGTCAAAGACAGAACAACGTTTTGGGTCTCTAAATTTTTCATTCAAGATTGGTCTCTTACATGATAAAACATCAACACGGTTGATGAAGTTCATACTCGAATATTATCACGCTCGATGGTTTTCGTGTATTTGTGACTGATGAGGACAAGGTATAATGTGCCGATTTCATTGCGCTGATACGGTTTGTACTACCGTGTCCTCTGTGCACGGAGCATTACGCTAGCTCAGCTTCCATTGGTATGAGTGGCTATCTTCGACCTTCACTCTCAAGTATTGACGCAAAATGCAAATTACGCGTAATGTTTTCGAAAGCGGCACTGAAACTCGCCCTGTCAACCCCCTCTTTTCAGTTAACAATAATTGCCTTACTGACGAGTTGACGTAAAGTTGTCGTGAAGCTCACGAAAAAATCTTATACAGAGAGTATTTACATCTAACTGATTGCGAAAGACCTCAGCTATTGTTTCTGTTCCGACGGTATCGAAGGCTTTTTTCAAATCGATGACCGGATGGGATCGATTGTATTGAGCCTTCACCGGAACCATGCACGGCTGTCCTCTAATATTTTGCCATTACTGTTACAGATGACTCATGTGAAAGGTTTATAGATTACACACAGTTGACAAATGGGGCAATGATTGTCAATGTCGTCTGGAAATCCCTTCTTACACAACAACATGGCCTTGTTAGCTTTAACGGAGTGGGCACTTTGCATTCCGACAGGTACCGCGTGAAAAGCAGGGTCATAATTCTGACAGTGACTGGCGGAAGACTCTTCAGATGTTCTGCTTTGATCTTGTTGTGACCAGGCGCCGTACCATTCCTCATCGCCGTGATGGCATGTCGAATTTGGGAAGAGAGAACTGAAGGGACATGTCCGTCTTGCTTAAGAGTGTAGGTAGACAGGTAGACGTGGCTGTCGACGGAAACATAGTAGAAGTCTTAGATGACTTTTTTCATTGTTCTTCGAGATGCAGTGACGGTTCCGTCAGGACGACGAGGGGAAGTCATCTTGCAATTGGCGAAACTCCGTCGGGCTTTGTGGACGCTCTTTCCAGCGTCTACGATTCCGTCTATAACTGCTGCTCTTCTCTCTTTCAAATCTTCCTTTATCGTTTCTCGGCATTATTCATCGATGTTGACGTTAATGGAATCTTTCCCATTCACTCGCAAGGGGTGCGATGTGCTTCTAGTTGATGGAGGTCATGTGGCTCTGGTTTCTGAACTCATAGCTCTCTCTCAACTCACTGAGAAACAGCGACGTCAATAAGGCATGAATGAATGAATGAATGAATGAATGAATGAATGAATGAA